CCTCCCCCACGTACCAGATCATCTTCTCGCCCGCCCCCCTCCCCGGCAGCCCTCCCCTCCCTCAGTACCAGATCAGCTTCTCGCCCCCCCGCCCCGGCAGCCCTCCCCTCCCCCAGTACCAGATCAGCTTCTCGCCCCCCCCCGCCCCCAGCACCTGATGTTGTGGCCACAGAGCTGCGCGTGGAGGCTGTCACGGTGGAGTTGTTGCTGAGGTTCAGGCCCAGACTGCTGACGCTGCTCAGACTGGAGGAGACGCTGACCACAGGTGGGGCAGCCGAGACTGTGCTGGAGGAGGTGGAAAAAGTGCTAGCAGAAGAATGGAGGCTTGCTTCACTCTCCACACTAGTGTGCTAAAGGGGGGGTGGGGAGAGAGAGAGTTAGAGGCCCAGGCAGTCTCCATGTAGCCAAGCGGGGGTGAACCACCCCCCCGCAGGAGCAGTATGCAGGGGGGAAATCCCTAACTGCAGCAGCGAGCTGGCTTTGCTGGTGCACTGGGCATGCGGCTCTCCCAATGCGCAGGCCTGGTTTTAGTTACACGGCTCCGGCTAACAAACGGTACCACGTGGCTGCAGGCAGAACAAAACGCAGCCAGGGAAACCCAGCGCAGCAGCTCCCAAAGTCACAAAGTGGAGGAGTTTACCTACACTAGGAAAACAAAACCCGCCCGAAACCTCCCCTCAGCCACCAGGGCAAATCTTACGGTCCCAGGTTTTAAGGGCTCCCCTACCCCTCCAGCACCCCCAAACGGGCAGCTGGGGGACAAGGACAAGGGGAAGATGGGGGAGAAAATCCACTGAAGCAAGACGCTGTTGGCTCTTCACACCCCGTCACCGACTCTGCAAAGAGCCGTCCCTCTGGCAGATTCCCTGTTCGGACTCAGGTGGGATCCTCGAACGTCAAACTGCCACAGTCACAGCCTGGGGAACTGGCTGCCCAACAGCCAGCATGAGAAACCACCCCGAGACTCAAGGCTCTTCGAGCTACTGATACAGGATGGAAAGGCCCTTCGGTCTGGAAGGGGCAGTACTGAAAAGACCCATAATTAAAAAGGGAGCTAAACTCCTAAGCGAGCCCGGAGCCTGCCCCAGCACACAGGGAACAACATAGCACTGCAAGAGAGACCAGGAGAAAGGGACCGCTCATGCCATGTGTTACCGGGGTAAGAGCAATGTCCCAGGAACACCCAGCCCCCTGATGCTTCCAATGAAACCAGACCCTCCCCTGCTCCCATAAGCAAACAGTCCAGAGCCTCCGCCGGGGATTTAAACATGCCGAGGGCAGCTCCAGAGCAATCCCAGGAGAGCGGTGTCTGGGCCCAGGATTTCAGCACTGCCAGCAGTCGGTATGTCGGAGCGCTGCAGTTCAATCAGCCACAGTCTAGTCTGACTGCATCTGGTTGCAACTCCGGGTTTCTGTGGCATACGCTCCTCCCTTAATGGCTACAGCAAGCTAGTAAGGAGCTATTGGTATGCGACAAACAGGCACGGCCTCCTCTTGCCTGGAGCCACGGACAGGCATGCAATATATTGAAACCAATCCCCCCCCCGCATAACCTTTAGATCGCCACCCAGCCCCCTCCATGGCCAACCTGGCTGAGCCCCGCCCCATCTCAGACTGACTGGCTGCCCTCGTGACTTGGCTGTGGGCAGTTCTGCCACCAGATCTAGGTTATACACATCGCCTGCTGCTGCACCGGGGCCTGGCTTTCCCAGGGGACGGTGCACCCATATTTCCAGCGAGTGGGGCCGGAGTCACAGGTGCTCAGTGCCTTAGCAGATCTGCACTGCAGCATCTGGACTCACCAGAAGAGTTGACGTTGATGTGCGCCCAGAGGACGTGGACGAGGAGAGGCTGTTCTGCTGGGTGGGTAACGTGCTGCAGGAGGAGAGAAAAAGCTGTCAAGCCAACCGCAGAGTTAGACAGCAGGGCTCCACTCCCCCTCCAATGCTACCACACAGCTCCATTCTCTTCCTCCACAGGAAACGTCAGGTGCCAGGACCGGACCGCGTTTGGGATGGACAAGAGACATGGAAGCCAGGTGCAGTCCAGTCCCTGGCAGCAAAGCTGGGCTTGCTTCCCAGGCAAACAGCACGGGACATTTCAAGGGAAGGTCCCCTGACAGCACTTTCCTTGGTGGAGCCAGTGCTTCCCTGACACCTTGGCCAGGTAGAGGAAGGGGCACCTTTTCTTGCCAAGAATGACTGAAGCTCCATCACATGGTGTCGGAGTGAGGGAATCCTGGAGGCCCCTCTGGAGAGAGGAGGGGTGCCGCATCCCCACATGGGCAGCAAGTGGTCCCCTCCACTCACCACTTCTGTACAGGGCCTAGCATTCTGCTTCTCCAGCGATTGGAATGCCCCGAGCTCACCTGCTGAGTTGGGCGGTGGTCGTACTGGGGAGCTCCTCAGCGTGGTTCAGGCTACTCAGAGCTGATGAGTGCTGGCTGGCTGTTGTCAGCAGGGATGATGCGGATACTGCATCGTTCAGAGGTGCGATATTGGGGGCAGAGGGGGAATCTGATTTCACCACAGGGCCTGGAGCACCTATGAATGAAAGCTGTGGTTAGGGGCCTTCTGAGCACTGGAAGAACACCAGCACTTTCCACCTGTAACATTCCCCCTCCCAACAGCCCGTGGAGGAAGGGGATGCAGCATGAACTGGCGGCGAGAGCATAGAACTAGGAGATGGGAGACCTGGGGCTTACTTCTGTCTCTGCTGCTGACCTGCTGCATGACCATGGTCAAGCCACTGCACCTCTGTGCCTCAGTTTCCCTCAACTGTAAAACAGAAGCGATGATCCTTATCCAGCTTCACACAGAGCTGAGATCTAGGAATAAAAAGCCCTTGCTAAGGGCCAAGGATCATCATCGGGAATAGACTGTCCCACTTCACAGGCACACAAGTTAAGTGACCTGCCCAAAGTCACAGAGGCAAGTGGTAAAAGACAGAACATTTTAGGGTAAGCCAATCAAACAAGCAGCACAGAGCGGGCCAGCACGGTGAGGATTTTCTGCCAGCCTGGATCAAGGCTGCTGCTCACAACCCCCAAAGGAGCACAGGGGACATGTGGTGTGAGCAAACCCAACCCCCCACATGTCATGCTGGCACTCACCTTCGACGGCCTGCGTGGTTTGTAACTGCGTGGGCTGCACAGAGCTGAAACCATTCTGGAAAAGAAAGGGGAGAGTTCGGTAAAGGCTGCGGCTTGTCCTCACTGACCCCTCTGCATTTGTTTCACTCCCCTCCAGGCCCACACAATAGCTCCCGGAGCAGACTTGTGACCGTACGAATTGTCAGACTGGATCGGACACGAGGCTAACCTCGTTCAGGCTCCCCTCGGACCATGGGCAGTACCAGATGCTTCAGAGAAAGGTGCAAGAAACCTCCTAATCCCTAGAAGAGGCCGGCTCAAGCGCTGATCAAGAGGTCTGCATCGCCTCCAACACAGACGTTTCCATTAACTGTTCCCAGTCTGGATAGTTTTGTGATCCATAGGAATGTACAGTCTCACCCTCAGCATTACCCTTCTGCAGGGAGTACTACAGGTGTGTGTGAAAAGCAGAACTGGCTGTCAGTTTGCATTTGGCCACCAGTGAATTTCACTGCAGGCGAACAAATCTCAGCGCTGGGACGCTTGATACCAGTGCATTCGGCAGGCACATGACATGTGACCAACTGTGAGGGGTTCTCAGTACATTTATCACATTCCACAAGACAAGAGGCGACACTAAAGAATCCTCGAGGCGATTCTCCCACCCCACCCAGAGAGGTCACCAGGCCACCCCGAGCAGCCTGCAGGGATGACCAGAAAGGGACAGACTCTCCAAGCAGCAGCACCAGTCCTCTCAGCAGCTGACCCAGGTGTGGCGTGGCAGGCTCCAGGACGCTGTGTGCAGCCCTTGGCCAGAGAGAGGGGAGACACTAGGGATCACGGGAAGGAAAGAGAAAATCCCACACATTCCCCATCCCAAGAAATAACTAGATCAGCCACTGTTGGCACTGCAAACGCACCCTCCACACCAGCACCCAGGGGGCCGCACTGCAGCTCCAAGGCCCGGATTACACCTATGCCTACTTGGGGCTAAATGAACGATAAAGCTCCAATTTACAACAAATATTGACAGACCCTGCCACTAGCTGGTGGTGCAGATTTTGCAAGGAAGTTACAGTGGAATCACGGGTTTCCTCACTCACCTCTCCATTTAAAGTGACCCACTCCCACCTCTCCTCCTTCAGTCCTGAGCAAGGCCAGTTTGCAGACAACCATCACATCCTGTGGTGAGGACAGCAGCTAGCCCCTAGCTCAGGCAGAGGACAGGGCTTTTCCATAGCAAGCCAGCAAAGCGGAGCACTCGGCTCTCCCTCTGCCGGGATCTGCAGGGCCCAGTTATCAGCTTTTTGATTTCTCTTACGCCTTTCCTGTCCTGCAGAATTACAGCCACCCCTCCACACAGGGTTTCACACTCTCCCACGGTAAGACAGCACCACCGAGAGGGGATGCGCTGGCCCCGGAAGGCAGTCAAGGCCAGCTCCCTACCTTGGCCTGGGTCAGGTCTTTCTGGGGCGAGGAGGAGATGGAGTTTGGGTATCGCCTGGTCTGGGTGGATCTCTGTTCATACAGTGGTCCCTGAGCGCTGTTCTGGGAGGTATACGTTGCTGTCTGTATTGTGCCGCCCTGGTAACCAGACTCCTGGCTTTGATTGGACGAAGATTCACTACACAGAAAGAAAGGAAGGCGTTTATTTTCTCTCCAAAATGACCCTGCTGGGCTGGCAGCCTCGAGCCTTTGCTTAAATGTGCTAACCAATGTAGCTGATCAAACCCAGCAGAGGGACGGCCCAGCCACAGAGAGAGACTCACTGAAAAAGGCTTGTGGTGCTGTGGACTGAGCACTGGACTGGAAGCCAGGAACGCCCAAGTTCTGACGCTACTGACTCTCTGCGTGGCCCAGGCCAAGTCACTTCATCTCTTTGGGCTTCCTTTTCTCCCCCATACAATGGAGCTAGTACTTAGGAGGAGGCTGTGAGGACCGGCGAATGCAGGGATACTCAGAGTGCGGCTTGCAGCAGCTCTTTAATGGCTCGCCTGCAGCCATCTGCAGCACAGGATATTAAACCCCTGTGCGATTTAATCACTAACTAACGTTATTAACCAATCAGGATGCTTTTACTAGGTTATTAACCAGCTGTAGTCGATAAAACAATACTACTTGGTCAGTCATTTTGCTGTGAGAATTGTCTGCATTTCCCCGGCCAGGCTGTTTAAATATGAATTTATAGCACTCTAGTAAATGAAACATGAATTCCCACAACTGTGACTCTTGGGTAATGCTGATGGCTAATTTGGCTCCTGAACCACTGAGGTCTGAGTATCTCTAGGCTAACGGGTCTGTAATGCTCGGAATAAAACTAAGCGTGAAAAATCCAGGCAAGTTTTCCCCTTTCTGACAGACTCAGAGGTTTGATAAGGAGAGAGGATACAAATCTATGTAAAATCAGACTGGACAAGCACATAAACCGGGGACACACGGCAATGGCTGGAGGAGGAACTGCCGAACATTACAGGTCTTCCCCAGCTCTTCCACCATTCCACCCAGCTCTGAGCAGTAATCGCACAGAACCCAGACGTCACTGAAACCCTTGGGAATTGCTGTGCCACGGACCTTGCACAGGAAGGGGCTGGGGCAGGCAGCTCAGCTGTAAGTCACTGTTTACATTAGAGCTCCTGAGGGCCGCTTCCTCCACTCCCCGGCCTGAAGGCCAGACATCTCCAGTAACTCCGCCGGGACAAAAGGGCCAACGGCTTCCTGTTCAGCATCACATCGGGGGCAATGTTGTTGCGCAATAAGGGATGCTAGGGACTGGGAGTGGCAGCAGCTCTCGGAGGAGGATCAGCTAGCCAGCCTGGGGTGAGAACCCTTCCATCTGACAAGGCACGCTCAGTCTGAACGGACAGACATGCTCAGCTCTCGCCCGGCTTGCTACAGAAGTCTCCACAGTCTGTATTTATAGTGTGAAGAAGGCGGCACACTGAACCTGTTCACCTGGAACAAGGCGCAGTTGTGCTGGGATTCCCCTCTCATTATTCGCAGGGAGTGGTTTAACGGCAGCAGGAAACCTGCCCGAATTTACTTTCTGTTTAAGTACCGCAGGCCAATCAGCCATAGGTTTGTCTGAATGAGTCCGCTGGCAACTTAACTGTTTACTGTTGCATACGCTGTCCCCCCTTTATGGCTATGAGACCAGCCAGAAAGGGTCTACTGGTATGCAGTATGGTTCGGGAGCTCCCGGAGCAGGCTGCAGGGTCAGCTCATTGACACAGGCAGCTTGGACACCAAGGAAACTCCCGCCCCACTGTGCTGTGGCTGGTACAGGAGACTCCAGAATCTCAGCAGTACAAACAAGGTGCCCCTATGGTAAGGGTGAAGCTGTTTCTCCTCCTGACCCTGCAATGGGTTAGAGCATAGAGGCTCTTTATAGAGACCCAGATGGAGCTGGAAGCAAGGCTGCCCCTAATGGCTAAGGAGCAAGTGCTACCTGCCTCTGTCCACCATGGGCATTGGGGTGTTTCCCTGCGCGCCCCAGGCCTTTACCTCGCAGTGCTGGTGTAGAGGCTGCTTTGAGACTGGCTCACAGAGGCGCTCGTCGTGGGCGTTGATTCGTACTCCGAGAGAACAGGCTCCGAACCAAACTGTAATGCCCCAAACTGCAGGTTTAGCCCTGAGATATCTGCTGAGCCAGGCATTTCCACCGCGAGAGCAGGAATCTGCAAAGGAAGGAGGGGTCCCTGAAAGGCAAGTCACTGCAAGGACAACCGAACTGGGCAAAGGGGACTTCGTGCGAGCGTCCTGCAGGGACAACCGCCTTGAACACCACATCAGACTGAAGCGGGCAGAGAAAATTCAACATGTGCACAGGAGGGCTCTGACCTCAGCCCGCCCCACACTTCAGTGTCACGATGCTAGAGCGAGGTCAGCTGACCAGCAGCCCCAGAATACAGGGATCAGGCCACAGGGGCTCACCTACACGGATGTCTGCAGGGTTACAACTCTGCAGTCAGATATTGAGATACTGAGAACCCCAGACTTGACTTCAGTGACACCCACCCTCACTCTGCTGGAATTTCTAACACGCTCTCCCCTGTGGTCTGCAGGTGCTCTGGGCGCTCCAGATTACGCTGTGAACATGAATCTGTTCAGCCTGGAACACAGAAGCCTACGAAGAGCCTAATCCAACTCAGGGTAGTCAAATCCAGCTCCACTCCCATTAACAGGGTGGGAGGCTGCTACAACTCCACACAGCTCTGCCTCGATCCTACTGCCACCTCCCTGCACACCCCATACCTTAGATGTCAAGGAGGTTTTCTTCTTCTGCTGCTTGAGCTTCTGCTGCACTGGCTGGGGACTGGAGGACTGGTTATCCGATGACCCCGGGGACATCTGGGGAACAGGGTTGGTTTTGCTGGGCAGAGGGGAAGATGGTGGGGGCGGTGCCGTTGTAGAGGCTGTCACCACAGGCTGCTTGTCCTGCATGAACACCTCCATCATCGCTGAGGCTGGCGTGAAAGCCTGACGCTTGGTGAAGGGGCTGTGAACGGATGAGTCCGTCGGGTTCTTTAGATCTGCCCCACGAAACAAGGTTGGATCAATACCGGTTGTTTTGTGAGAGCGAACGCTAGTCCTGCCCCTTCTAGGTTTCAGTAATGAAATAAATGATTCGGACCTTGCCCCCTCCCTGGAGCCTTTCATCGAGCATCTCAAAGCTCTTCACACAGTTAGTTAACCTCCAGGGAGATATTAGGCCCCTCCTACATGGGGAATACCACTCCCAAGGGAGTCAGGGGCATTGCTGGGAAAAGAACGGCAGGAGCCCTGCCTCCCAGTCCAGCATTCGAACCAGACCCCTGCCCTCTTCCACGGGCGGCGTGCTGAGGTGTCGAGCACTCCACCTTTCAGCTCAGCATGCAAGGCCTCGCTGCAGCTCTTGCCATGAAGTTTAGGGGAGGAAGGAAGCAGATCTAGTCAGCAGAGCTCCTCCATCACAGAACAACTGCAAATGCCTCTCACACGAGAGCACGGAACACCACCTCTCGCAGAAACCTGGCTTTGCTTCCCTGCCCTCCTCTGCAAGTTTGGCTGCATTGGATTGCCCAATTCTTTTGCTTCACCTACCGCGTACCCAGCAAGTAACACCAGGCCTTCCTCCCCTGAGCACGGCTGCACCTCCTGCACCCCTCAGCACCACGGCTTACTAAACACGACTCCCATTCTCTCTGCCTCTGCTCTGGGGCTCCTGATCTGAAACGCTCAGAGGATGCCAACACCGGCGGCTGCTGGAACAGGGCTGAGTTTTTTCCTCAGCTCATATTTGAACCAGAGCCATTTCCCCGAGCAAGAAACAACGTGTAGGAGCTGAAAGAACAGCATCAGCACTAGACCATGCAGGGCTCGGAGAGACCTTCGAAGCGCAGAACCGCTAGAGCTGCTCTTGTATCGCAGGCATTCCCCAGGGCCAGGAAAATCGCTTCCTTTCCCCACTGGGCTCTGGCATGAGAGCCACCAGCACAGGCTAGTTTCCTTTCCAAGGGGCCGATGAGATCAGCAGCCCAGCTCCCTCCAGCAGACGGAGGTGACACATGCCTGTGTCTCGGAGATCTAGTCCGCAGGCTTGCTCCTGGACTCCCAGGACTTGAGGCCACCACTCACCAAATTCCCCTCTACAGATCTCTGCATTTAGAGAACATGCCAGGCTACGGAAATGGCCAGGGGACCGGTCAGCAGATGCCTGTGGGTGAGTGTCCGTGTGGCAGGCTGGCAGTACAATGGGCTCATTTCGGCGGCTGGGAGTGGAGAAGGGACGAGGAAAGACCCTGACAGTGTCTTAATGAGCCATAATTACTCTCCAATCAGATGCATGTTCCCAGAGATTATTTCTGAATGGCAATGAGCCCAAAGGCTCCAGGGCTCGCTCCTCCACGCCACCCACTGCAGCCCTGGCTGCGATCCATTCCCCGCCCGGGAACCTTACCGTACTGCACGAGAGCCGAGGACTGCGCCGGGGATCCCATGTCCCAGGAGGAGGAGGTGTTGCTCCCGCCAGGCTGGGCGTGCTGAGCCGCTAGTTGCGCCAGAGCCTGAGCGGTCTTGAACTGCTCCAGGAATTGAGAGCCTGTGGTGCTGCTGCTTTTGGCCTCTCCGACGTCTCCAAACCCCTTCCCCAGCATGCTCACCTGGGGTTAACGAGGAAAGGGAAAGTCACCACTAAAAGCAGGGGCTAAGATTGCCAAGGGCAGCCCTGAGTGCCCTGCGCTGCCTGTTTCACCCACAGGCTGTGCTGCCAGTGGATGTATGGTGGGTGCTGTCTGGAACGAGAGGCTTTATGCTCGTATTTTGCCCTGCACTGCGTGTGATGCCAGGTTAAGGGGATGGACGCAGCACAGCTGAGCTCTCCAATAAAGGTAACAGGTGGATCTGCAAGAATCCCTAAGTGCCAATGAAAGTCCAGGGGGCTCCTGCTCCCCAGTCACATAGGTGCTTTGGGAAATGCCACCCATTGTTATCCTCCCAATCTTTCTGCCAGGGCGACACAAAGAAGCAGTTGTCCAGCTCCAGGCACCTCTCTGGGATCATTTCAACAATTCCCTTCTTCGCTCTTCAATACAGCACTGCTGGGCTCTCAGCGGCTGCGGGGTACCCCTGTGTTCGGCTGCTGGTTGGCCAAGAACCAACCCGGCACAAGCCATGCCTGAGATGCAGGGACTGAGCGGAGGAGGGACACGCAGGACAGAGCACAATGGCAGCACTCACCTGCCTTAAGGAACAGGCACATTTGGTGCTTTGAAACCAGGGTCTGTCCTTGGACAAGTCACCTCCCTGAGAGGGAGAAATTGGCTCTCTGTGAAGCCTCCAGAGGGAAGTACAGAACGGGAGACACTCAGCAGGTCCAGCTGCCCAGACACACTCGGGGCATGCTCCCTTGCTGTGGTTACCACCCCTCAGTCGCCCTTTCAGATAACACAGCTCACAGCCGCTCACAGGCTCTGGGATTCACTTTTCCTCTTTTGTAGGGAGAAAGAGGCACGTGGCCTAGTGTTAGCAAGGACTGAACACTGCTCCCGCACTGAGGCTACCCTGCTCAGTCACCTAATTCCCATGAACTCACAACATCGGGAGCCAGGAGCGCACGCTGAAGCTGTAAGTCATGCAGCTCGGGGATTCTCAACTAAATGGTTGCACCCACTCTGCCCCTCCCCTATTACGCACAGAGAGGGTCTCAGAAGGTGGCTGAGAACCAGTGAAGTCCACAGGCCCCCTGCCGTGCCTAGGCAGAGGTGAGTGGCAGCTTCCTTACCATGCTGTGATGAGGGAAGGCGTTCCCAGATGCAGGCTGGGATATAGCCGTCTGCTTGGAATTGCTGAACACAAGAGGCTGGGCAAGAGAAGGAGCCTGGGTTGAATCCAGGTTTGAGGACTCATTTTCCAGAGAAGAGGGAGTCTTTCCTAACAGCACCGCAAGATCAATTCTGGGAGAAGGAAAAGGATGAAACCACCAAGATTAACAGGAGCCGTACCATCCCTTGAGGGTTAATAGCGGTCTATTCCCGCCAAGAACATCCTTCCCCGCCCCCGTGACCTCACAAAGTCACACACCACCACCTCAGCAACTGTCTCTAGCAATCTCAAAGGGCCGACTGAAAGGAGCAGCCACCTGTACCTACTACAAGAAACCAAAAGGAAAAACCAGGCCTAAGAGCAACTATAATGTATGGGCACCTGGGCAAGACACACCTGTGCTACTTATCGGCTAGGCTGAGTAAGTGGAGCGAATGTAACCCTGCCAAACTACTAAGAAAAGTCTGGCAAGCAACATAATGGACAGAGACAGAAAAGTTTATGCTTGGTAATGCAGGGCAATCAAATTAAGTTACACAAAACAGAGTCACATCCAAGCAGGTGAAACCTTGACTAATAAATGAACAGGCCACTGATGTAACTGTTTTCCTGGGACCAACAACTGACATGTTAATGGTTTTCACTTACATGTTGAGCTCAATTAATTGTCTGCAAGAATAAATCTACACAGGGATAAGTCTGAATTTTGATCGGACCTTTTGGAGGAACTCAAAGCTTTCTACAGACATGAATAACCCTCACATCCTCCTGGGAAGTAGTTAAACATCTTGGCTGAGACGTTCAAATTGGTCTAGGGAGTTTAGACACATGCCTGTCATGAAAATCAATAGATGTGCCTAAATCCCTTAGTCTGCTCTGAAAATCTCAAAGCTGTTTTATAAAGGGAGAATTTGATGAGCCCATGCCAGAGATTATAACAGATCTTGGGAATTCCTGGCTTCCAAACCTGGGCTCCAAGCACTTAGCCCTTCCACTCAAACCCACGTGACCTTATCCAGAGCTCCTCAATTTTGTCCAAGTGGATAGCCATCTGACACAACAAATCCTGCACCTTGGCAGGGCGTTAGACTAGGTGACCCTTGCGGTCCCTTCTAACCCTATGGTTCTATGAAGCAATGCCCTGCCCCCAGACCACCATATCGCTATTAACAATGCTATGGCATTAAGCCATCACCTCTGGCCAGCTGTGATTGTCACATTCTCTGCAGGCAGAGGCACTGAAGACACATTGGAGGCAGTGAAGATCTTGGTCTCCGAAAGCTAGAAGACAGAAGAGGGAGGTAACCCACATATTAGAACCATGCTTTAGGGCTCCAAATAAAAGAGATTTCAAAGTTAACGCAAAGAAACGGGGGCTGGGCAGAACATGTGCAGGAAGGTTCGCTCATGGCATCCCACAAGAATCAGCGTGTGGCGTTAGCGCTGATACTATGTTTGGTGCTGATCAGAAGCAGCCAGCCCTTGGTTTTGCCTGGGTTCACCCTCCTCAATGACTCAGTCAATCAGCTGCCAGGCTTAGACAGCATTTCCACTCAGTGCGGGCAGCCCCTCAGTCAGTGAAAAATCCGCTGGGAAACGGGCATCTGGAAACTCACCAAGTGCAGCACCCCAAACCCACCCGACATGGAGGAGGAAACATCTGTGAGAGGAGAGTCAGCTAGGCCTCAATTCCCAAAGCCAAGGTGAGGACTACTGGCTACGGGCCAAGGACCCACAGGCCTGCTCGGGCGGTGAGGAAGAACTGCTAAGTTAGGCCCCGAGCCAGCAAAGCCCCTCGGCACGTGCTTGCATTTCACTCACGTCAACGGACAAGCCGAAGTGGGTCTACAACCAGCAAAGGGGCAGTCTGCTTTCTACAGCCCCAGTAACTACTGTCTGAAGCCTAAGGAATGCTCAGGATAGAGGGACGGGACGTTTTAGAGCAGCCACCAACCACATAGTTTAGAGTGGACTATATTTGTATACAAACAGCTTTTATCCCTGAGAGAGAAGCCCAAGAACGGTTGCAAGCACCTCTGCAAGTAATGGCAAAAAAAAAAAAAATACACAGAAAACCATCCCCAGGCCAGAGCGTTTGCTTTGCGTGCAAAGGGCCTTCATGTAACACAAGAAAGGGTGTCCAGACTGCCTTCAAGCAGAGACCTGATGAGCGCAGGAACAGCTCTAACTGCCTGTGTTTCTACACACAGCACTAACACTTCCTTCGGACAGCGCCTGAAGAATGAATGCCTTTTCCTTTGCTGTCAACTCCAGCTGCCCAGCTGAAAGGAAGTGAAAAAATGTACAATAAAGGGCTCAGTCCTGCAGCCATTTAAGGTGATAGCAAAACTCTCCCTTGATTTAAATGGCAGCTGGATCAGGGCCAAAGTTAGGAGAACTTTAAAAACCAAGGCAAAGTTTCTTCTGAAGCAGTGGAATTGGATGCCGAGAACACAGATAAAGCAACAAGATGAAAATGAGACAAGCCACAGATTAACACAGAAGGAAGAGCTCAGAGCTCCTGGAAATGGGCATAAAAAGCACAACCTTGGCAATAAAGACAAGCAAAGGTACTTGACATTCTGCACCCAGACTCCCTCCCCCCAGCCCCAGAGTAGATATTACAGATCCACAAGGCCGAGCTTTCCAAGCTGCAAACTCGCAGTGTTAACTTTCCACAGAGTTCGGTAGCGACAATATTTAATCCACCTGAGTCGTGCAGTGCAGTTCCTGGAACAAGGAGCCTGGTTTGGGGCTATTCCTACAGTCCTCAGCTAGCAGGTTTTGTTCCCCTTCTATCATGGGGAGGGGATTGAGAGTACCTACATCTTCATTCCAGTCCTCTGTTCCCCATTCCTCCGTCGCTGTCCTCCATGCACCTACAAGGAAAGCAAGAGTTTGGGAAGTTTGCTGCGTGTCGTAGCCCCATTTCTTACAAAAGCCAGGAAAGTGGTTTGGGAGCATAGCAGGCAGCTGGCTGGGTTCTTACTCACCAACCAGGCACAGGCGAGAGGCTAAGAAAGGCTGCGCACAGACACACCCCAACACCAAAGCAGAAACTCAGGGTATTGGGTTTAGCCAGGGGGCTCCCTGGGTTCTTCCCCAGCCCCTTTGCTCAGAACCATCAGTTTTCCTGCTTCCCCCTCTCCTTGCAGAAGCTGCACCCACAACCAGCTACCCCCAGCCCAGCAGAGACCAAGAGCACCACCTCTAGAGTGTCTTCTGCCAGAGGTGGTGCCAAAGTCCAGCTCTCTTGTGGGACATCACCATGCAGCTAGACTGGCTAGCAATCATTTGGGTTTTCTTAAAAGGACACCATCAGATCAAAGTTCAGTCCCAAGTTTCAGGGACTTTTATAAGACCCAAGAACTGAAATGTTTACCTGGGTTTATTTTTGTTTCAATGAGAACGTTTCCCTGCAGTGTTTGAAACCCAACACGGGGGGCACTTTGCCTAGTGCATGAGACTCTGAAAGTGAAATCTACTAGGAATCTGTGATTCATGAATTTTCCTTGCCCAATTTCAGACAAATGCAAAAGGTGAACAGATAAAATACTGCAGTGAAAAGATCATTGTGTTGGTTTCAACGCTCCAAGGTTTGATTTGTAAAGATAGAGAAATTTACTTTTTTTTAAAATTTGTTTTTAACCTGACTGCATCCCCTACAAGCCAGTTCCAAGTCCCTTGCCTCCCCCCCCCCCCCCGGTCCATACATGCACACACCTCAGTTTGAACTGAGCACTCTGGGCGTAGCATGCTCACTTCAGAGTCCACTAGAAACTTAATTTTAGGTCCTGGGGTGGGAGGAGAGGGGGAGCATTTCACATCAGGAAAATCGGCACAAAAGCAGCCTGCCACTTTTCAGCAGGTCATTTTCACCCATACAAACCAGACTAACCAAAAATAAATAAAATAAAATAAAAAAAGCCACACAGCCAACAGGGTTAATTCTATAGACATTTACAAGAATAGGACGAGTTCTGCCCAGGACAACACCTTAATCAGCTGACGAGCTTTTTAGAACGTGTAAAAGTGGAACATGTTGGTCTCTGGTTCTTAGAGGCTAGTCCGAACCCTCCCAGATTTGGAGGGGAGGGGGAGGGGAATTTCCAGAGAGTCTATCGTTGTCAGGCCAAGATTTGAAAAGTCTCCCAGTTCCAGAGATGCAGCTGCTTGAGAGCACCAAGGAAGGAAATTACTAGCAAAGCCTATTGTTTATTTTGCCTGGCAAACTGAGCCTATTCAAACTCTAAATATTTTATTCTATTAAGGATCAAAACATTAATCCAGTTTAACCCCTTGGGTCCTTGCAGCCTCCAGGCACCCCACACTTAGAAACACCCCCTCCCCCGCGCCCCAGATGGTAGAACACAGGCAGGGGAAGAGTACATGCTACCTTTTGGGGGGTGGGGAAGAGTTAACGCCAGCTTTCCCCATTTCTCATCTGCTTTTTTGCTCCCTCAGCAGCGGTGTGACGGCTCCTTTCCAGGCCTTCAGGCACGAGAGCCCGTCTCCCTACCCAGGCAGAGGCTAGGCACCGCAATCCAATTGCGATGGGCAGAAAGCAAGAAACAGAGCCTGTGCTGAGGGACATGGCCCTGGGCTCCATTTTATTTCCCCCCTCTCAGCTCACTTTTGGGAACAAGAGGAAGAGCAGAGGGGCAGGGAAGGCTGAGCTAAACTCTTCAGCTTCCAGACCCATGAGAAAGGCTTTCGCTACACTCCAAAACATCTCCCCTACCAGGCTGCTTCACAGGGGTCACATACCCAGTCCAGCCCAGTCCGAGATTTCTTGTGCATGGGGAGGGAAGGAGGAGTGTATGCAAAGAGCTGCTTTCTATCCAAAATGCTCTCCCGAAAGGAAATGGATGGTTTCCTAACCAGCACACTGTATATCTACCTTGCTGAAAATACACCAAACATCCCACTGAGCTCCTGGTCAGGCGAGATCTCCAGCGAATCCAGCCCTCTGACACTCAAGACGGTGTCCTATTCAGAAAGACAGGAGATTGCCCACCCTGCCCTCTCCCGCCTGCTGAAAGAGTCTCTTCCAGGGCCATTGCTCCTCTCTCTTAGGGAAGGAGCTGGCTGGGAGGAATATTATCCATTGTCAAGGCAGCAGAGGTGCAGCAATTGAGTCAGCTAGTACCGGAGAGTGGCTCAGGTGACTTCCCAGACACAGAGCCTGCTCCTGTAACAGCAGCTAGCCGTTCCCTCTGGACAGCCCGGTGCCCTGGTGTACTTGCCATAAGCTTGAAGAGAGGGACTCCTCGGGGGCCCCATTTCTTTTCTTTTCTGACATCTCTCCAACATTAACATCGGAGTCTGCTGCTCCCGTAACTGACCAGGAGGCCTGCAGGTGCCACAAGTCACTAGCTGGATACTCACTGACCTAATTCAGAGAAGAGCGACTAGGCCCGAGAAGCTCCATGTCCTGGAATGTCAATCCAGATGCACACACAAAGGGGTGCAACACTGAATGGCAGAACTCCCGCAGCTGGGTTCACACGAACAGCTTGTGCGCTACCCACTGCTGGAGGTCTCAGCTCAGCGCTGCAAACCGGCCATAAAGGAACAGGAAACTGCAGACGAAAGGGACATGCAGGCTTAATCTCGGGCGGAAAACTGGGAGGAGAAGCGGGTAATGGAAAACCTGCACCCGAACACTCAGAGGATCCTCATCCAGAAAAACAGGCTTGGACTTCAGCGGCAAAGCTTTCCCCCTTTATTCTTCACGTTTCACGGGGAAGCGGTGGATTCTCCATCCCTTGAAGTCTTCAGATTGAGACTGGCTGCCTTTCTGGAAGATCTGCTTTAGTCAAGCAAGCTAGTGGGCTCAATGCAGGGATGACTGTGAAATTCTCCGGCCTGTGTGACACAGGAGCTCAGAACTGATGATCTAATGGGCCCTTCAGGTCTTAAAGTGCATAATAGTAAAGATCCCAAAGGCAGGAGGCAAAGTGACAAAGCCCTAAATCTGAGGCATCAAGTGTGCAAGGAATCTCAGAAACCCAGGAACCTCGGGCACTTCTGTGCACAGGAAGGAGGCGTGGTGGCATGCCACAGCAGCGACTAATCAATGCATTGCTTACCAAGAAGCAGTTGTAAGTGGGAGTGATGTGCTGAGAGAGCCTAGAAGGTCTAAATTACACCTGCAGCAGGATTCCGAACCCTCTGGAGAAACTTGTTCTGGAGGCCGGGGAGCAGAGCGCTGCAATCACTGAGCCTGGGACTCTAGGAGCTAGCCAAGTCCAAACTCTTGCATTTGAGTGAGAGAGACAGGAGCTGGAGCTGCCCAGCACTTCCTTGTACTGGGTAGGATGTTGTCAGGGCCATAAACCTGGTGGTGCTGAGGGTGCAGACAAGCAGTGGCTGAACCTGGAATTTACATCACCCATGTGTCTTTAGACATAACCGCTCCTGATTTACATTTAAGGTGTCAGCATTAGTAAAAGCACAGTCAGAACAAACATCATATATTCATAAGAATGACATATCCACAGATATTTCAGTTTTTAAAATAAGCTATAAAGTAAAGGTATCCGGGGCAGTTAGTGCGCCTGGATGTATCATACCAGGAGCAGTGTCAAATTTTCGGGGATAATTTGAGCCCTCACCCCCAATGAAATCAAGTCCTGAAACAAAAAAGAAAAGAAAAAGAAAAACAACCAGTGAAATTTTGGCTTGAGAACAAGTTTCATTGCCCCCACGCACACCAGTCACATTGTACCTGTGGATATTGCTAAAATTAAAGAGAGATGCTCAAGGCTGCTAAAATGGAAAAACAAAATGACCATGCAGGACATGTTTGTACAGAACTTATCATGAAATTACACTATGGACACATTGTAGCACAGAAGCAAACCTGGATCCTTCTATGCGGACTGAAGCAATGGTCTCTCCCCACCCAGTAATTACAGACTGTTTAGATTTACCCTTCCTAAGAACACTGGTTTGGGTGTACACACAATGAAAATCTACTTGGAAAAGAAAGGTATGAACTTGCAGTAAGAAGAAGTGGTGCATTTCTATCCATTCTTTTATCCTACGCAGTGTAAACACAGACATCCCCTTGCCCCAGAGGTATGGATTCTTATCCAGCCCCCTGACAGTCCAGATTAAATGGCTACACTGTCTCAGACCCATCAGTAGGAGTTTCAATCTGCTAAAAAGCTGTGACCAAAAAAGTGATCTTTTTGAAAAGGCTATTCCCTGTCTTCAAAAGAGGAACAAAATTAGAGCTGCACGCTGTGGAGGTGCAATACTCCATTCTCATGAACAACAGCTTTGAAAGTGAGACAGAAAAATGCATTTGCTCGATTACCGTAACTACAGCATAATTACGATATTAACCCCTTCCTTACACAGACAGAACGTACTCAATGGAAACTAACAAATAACAGGACTTCAGTTGGTATTTTGGAAGAAGGAGAATAAAACTGAACTGTCATGGCTGAGGCAGGCAGGCAAACGGGACAGTGTCAGAATCGTCTGTTTTAAAAGTCTGATGTATGGTGGCGAGAGCTTGGGCTCACCTGAGTAACTCAGAGGACAGAGCTGAGCAGCACAGAAGTTCTGACCTCACTGTGGTGTAAGATACTGCTCCGGAAGAAAACCTCCCCTCTAAACGCACCGACGTCTCAAGACTAGCTTTAATTAGAGAGTGTCCCATGAGACTATGTCCAGTTACTGCATTGCGAAAATTGCATCTACTCAAATCTCTCAACCCACCCCCAGCGTCTATATGAAAAACACAAAACCCCATTTTCACAATGCAAGAAAATGGCAAGAGAAGAGTGCTTGGACAGCTCAGCAAGGAGCAGAACTCCTGGGGGGCCCTGAGTATCGATTCCCCAGAAACCAGCTTTCTGTATTGAGATCTCATCTTGCAAACAGTTTGGGGTAGGAAGCAGAGCACTCCCGTCTCGGAATACAGCGAAAGCGGACATCTGAATGCAGAAAGCACGCCTCAGGAGGATGCACTACGTGCAAGGAAAAGCTGCCACCGGTCAGCCGTCTGGTTGTTTACACAATGTCCTCTGTGCTGACAGGTGTGCCAAAACACAGCCCCTATGTCAGGAAGCAGTCAGAGGCAAGTGTGCCCGTGCCCTCAGTCAGCACCTTCGCCAGCTCATAGCAGGGCACTGCACGACTCAGCTGTTTCCAGTGCACAGACTAGATCTGACTGTCCAGCTGTCACGCTTCCACTGATAACCCCAAAGTGTCAAATAGTAAAACTTACCAGGAAACCCGATGAACACACCGGATACTTGCAACAAGAACAGCATTGGGCATAAGGAAAGCAGGTCACTGAATTTCTGCCCTGAATCCACAATCCATTCCCTTGCTATTTTATCCACGTGACTGAAGGGGACTTGCAAGAAACCCATTTTTGATCTAACCAGCAGGTAGTAATGGGACAGAAGCATGGAGGTCACTTACTTGTCCCATCGTCGGGCTCAAAGCTACCAGTACTGTTCCATGTGTTGTTGCTATTCCCATAGTTCTCCTCCGTGCTGGTTGGCTCTGCATAATCAGCTGGGTTGAAAGTTCTGGAACACAGATTGGGGGGAGCAAGTTTAGATTTCCTCGTAACTGCTATGAATGAAAAATCCATCACATTTAAACCAGGACATAGCTAAATGATTCCTAGCAGACCCCGTCCACTTTGTAAGACAAACCTACTGCGGTCTTAGCCATTCCAAATGCAACTCAGTATGATACAGCTGCTGCAATGGGACAGGTACACAAACCAGCAAGGAAGGACAGAACCCACCAGTTAGACTTGCGTTGTCCCCTGCCCACCCCCGTGCAGAGACAAACTCACAAATGATCTTGCTTTTCTTGTTTTGTATCCAATAAAAACTTACCCCATTCCCTGGGCAGAAAATCTTCCCCCCCGCCTTCCAGAGCCACCTGTAAGAGACAAACACACATCAGTGTAGTCCTGCTGTCAAACAGCAAGGCTCACAGCTGTGCTGTGTGTTGCTGGGAAGGTAAGTGTTTAACACTATGCGGCATTTCAGACGCCCAGTATGACAATGTCCAGCATCTTCCTGCATTGATAAGGTTTCAGACTGCTCCTTTTACATGCATGCGAATTACACGTTAGAGGTGTAATTAGGGATAAATTATTCCAGCCACAGATTAGCTCCCCGTCGGTCACAAGGCACAAATATGAGAGGCCAGACTCCAAATCTATAGGACATGGCCTCATCAGCAATTATCAAACAGCTCAGGTTGTTTCATGGAAAGATTTATTTTTAGACTCTCAGCAATGAGAACGAATGAGTGCAGCTCACAGATAGGCAGCAAAGCTGCCCAGAGGTACCAGCACTTAC